TTAAGTAGAATCTGGGAACTGGACGTAATCCCATCCGACTGGTCTCAATCCTTGATTGTCCCAATCTATAAGAAAGGACAAAAGTCTTCTTGTGACAATCACAGGGGAATAAGTCTAACTAATATAGTATCTAAAATATTGGCCTCAATAATACTTCGACGCTTAACGAAAGCTTGAGAAGAGCAGACTCGAGAAAACCAGTCTGGTTTTCGACCTGGACGTGGCTGTATAGACCACATTTTCACACTACGACAGGTCCTGGAACATAGACATACATTTAGGCGTCCTACAATAGTTGTTTTCCTAGACCTTAAGGCGGCATTTGACTCAGTGGATCGTGAGGTTCTGTGGCAGTGTCTGTCATTGAAAGGTGTACCAAAGAAGTACATTAACCTTATACAAGCTCTTTACTCGAACACCACTGGTCGAGTGAGAGCTTATGGCGAACTGTCACCGGAATTCTCTACATCAAGTGGTGTCCGTCAGGGATGTCCACTTTCTCCATTCTTGTTTAATTTTATCATAGACATGCTCCTAGACATAACATTATCCTCGTCTGAATTTTCAGGAGTAGACCTTCTACCAGGTAGCTCGCTTATTGACTTAGAATATGCCGATGACATTGTCCTACTTGGTGAAGACGCTGACAAAATGCAGAGTCTTCTGACTACCCTAAGCAACAATGCGAGCATGTTCGGGATGCGGTTTTCCCCCTCGAAATGCAAAATGTTGCTTCAAGACTGGGTTGTATCGGCACCTGAACTAGTGATAGGGAGTGAAGTAGTCGAACGTGTAGACCGCTTCACTTATCTTGGGAGTCTCATCAGTGCCGATGGCCTGGTGACTGACGAAATCTCGGCACGGATACAGAAGGCTCGATTTGCTTTTGCCAACCTGCGTCACTTATGGCGTAGGCGAGATATCCGTTTGCTGACTAAAGGACGAGTGTACTGCACAGTAGTTCGCTCCGTCTTACTTTATGGCTGTGAAACATGGCCAATGAGAGTAGAAGATATTCGTAGGTTACTGGTTTTCGATCATAGGTGTCTTCGAAGCATTGCTCGTATATCGTGGGACACCCGAGTGAGCAACGCTGTCATTAGGAAACGGGTGCTAGGTAAGAATGGCAGATCAATCGATGAAGTATTGAAACTTCACCAGTTGAGGTGGTTAGGACATGTGTTGCGTATGCCCAACCACCGACTGCCTCGTCGAGCCTTGTTTTGTAGTGTGGGAATAGGTTGGAAGAAAGTTAGGGGCGGCCAGACCAAAACATGGCAGAAATCCGTGAATTCATTGACTAGTGGACTGAGCCATGTCGGTAATTGTCGACTACCTGGTTGGGGTCCGCGAGATGATAATAATCGATGGTTAGAGACCTTGAATGACATGGCTCAGAATCGTTCGCAATGGCGCCGGTGCATTTATTCTCTGTGTTCTCTCAAATCCTAATCTTCTGGATTCTTCGACCCCTCTAGTTTCGACTCTCTAAACTTTTCTCACTGAATCATACTTCTTGAATAGTATCTTCTAATCCTAACCTCCGATTATTTCTAATTCCCTTACTACATCTTCTACTATTGGATTTGAATTGACGATTACTTCTCTGTGCTGATGTGGTATGGCAACATGAACTGATGTACTTATGTACAAAGTTCTACGTTGCATCTGACTGACTGACTGACTGACTGACTGATTCAGCAAAAATACATCTTAAGCGCTTCATAATTTTAGTGAAACAATAAGTCGATGGCTTGTATTAATTGGCTTAAGAACAAATTAATTTTTCTTATAAGATTATTCTGATCATGTAGCACCGTGAACTGTAGTTCGTTTCAAAACATAATTCTTAGGTGTAATAATTTGAATTCAAAATTTGGCTATGAGGTTACTGCCATCTAGTATATAGATATCTATTCGGTTATTCTCTTCAGCGTATTCTAAATGTAGAACTTATCGATTATCAGGGTCAGAAGTTTAAGCTGGTGTTTTGAGGTGCATTTGGCCACTGACGTTTCGTTTGAATTTAGACCATACAACTCATCCCAACCAAGTGTAATCACAACAGAAAAGTACACTTACTGATACTGTTTTTACTGATTGCCAGTAAACGACGAAAGCTGAAAATAGAGAAAACATCCCCGTCGATAAGCAGTTCCCAGTAGTTCAAATTATTCTAGATTTCTATGTGGAAAATGCAGTTACTCAGGTACATCATCAATAAATTCTCGAAGCAAGAGGACCATAGAATATAAAGGACATATCTACAGACTCAGCTTTACCTTATTTATGAAGCATATCATTTATTATTATTATTATTATTATTATCATTATTATTATTATTATTATTATTATTATTGGTTACAGACAGGAACTGTGAAATCTAATTCGGTCTTAAAATCAGCCAATCTCATTAGGTCTCATTGGTTTATCTCCGAAAGATACTGGTCAAATCGATAGCTATAAGTGGAAGTGTGAAAAACAAATCTATTCTATATAATTCATGTAAAAAAATAGACAATTCCATGTAACTAGTCCAAATACTAATTTTGTTTGATTGGTACACAGTATATATGTATATCTAACTTCAAATGGAAGGATAGAGCCCTTAGTAAAGTGAAATATGCCTTACATTCATTCGTAAGTATGTCGAACAGATGTTCCTCCTCCTCCACGTTTCAGAACTTACAAGTATGCTCACTTATCCACCTCATTGTTGAAGCTCGTCAAACGTGCATCAATCAATCTTGTCCTAATGGTCGTAGGAAAGATTAGACATCGGAGATATGATTTAATAAAATATAAACTAGTGAAATAAAAGTTAATATAATGAGTAATTCTGAAACTAAAAGCAAACTGGGTAGATGCATCTCTGTCATTGAAAATGATTTTAAGCCATATTATTCAATGGCGCTGCCGCATCTTCTCCCATATTGTTAGCATAGGGTGTTGGAACTTAGTTTTTACTGAATGCCGCCTGCGACATGCTTGTTTTCCTAAAATCAAGACATTGCTTGTACAAATATTCAAAAATGACCAATCACTAACATAAAAGATAGAAATGATAATGTGTAATCAATTACGAATTGATTTGACTGTTCCTTTTTAGCTGGTAAAAATACATTTATTTTAATAATGAGTTGGAAGATAACTTGTAATTGGGACCATTGTTGTGTAGAACTCAAAATAAAAGTAAATTAACATGTCAATACTTAGGTTCCACAGTTTCTTTTTTTCTGGTATTTTTTTCAACAATGCTTAACGTGTTCACAGTCAGTTAAACACAGCCTTATTACTACCGTATAAATACGCTGGTTGTTTGACGTTAGTTTAGAAAAAATGAGCAGCAAATATCAGTGTGACTTACTAATAATTTTTGTTTTTGGTGATGATAATATGAGGTAATAAAGATTAGAAACTCTCCTCCTAACGTATAGAGGATAATCAATGTTTAACTGTAACTAGATAAAGACCGGGTTTATTTTAAATTTAGTTTTCATTCAAAATGTCAATCTAACGATTCATAATTCGTAACACACCGTCATTTAGGTTTACTCTTTTCACATTGGCCTGGATTTAAGTGGTTGTTTAAACAGTGTGATCAGTTGTAGAGCTGAGTTAAAATACCACTTAGTTGTGCTATTTTTCTAATCAAATCAAGTTGCCTGTATTGTGTGCTATGTGAAGAATTTTCGCGAATTTCATCTATCTATTTCTTCTCTAAATCTTCAAACACAAATTCTTATAATCCAATCAAATAAGTTTTCGACATCGATCTTTTATGTGTGAATATTTTTTTACATATCCTCCTATGATATTTCATACTACTCTTTTCTCGTTGAAATTCTCCAATGAGCCTAAGTTTATATTCGTCTCTCGTTTTGTCTGTCTGTCTGTATGTTTATTCGTCAGCCGCACTTAAGAACAATAAGAATGATCATAATTATCATTATTGATTTTATCGATTTTTTTCATTCGGAAATTTTTTAGGGTTTTATTATTATTATTATTATTATTATTATTATTATTATTATGACTGCTATAGGCATCATGATCAGTTTTATGCTTGTAGTCAGTTTACAAATGTCGTCTATCATCCTTAAGATGTTTAACTGTCAACTTTTTTATATGTACGTTGTTACTACAATTTCTGTTGATTTCTGATAATTTTTGTCATTACAAATAATGTGGTTAGTGATTCACTGGTTTTTATGTCCAACTGTTGTTGGTTGTTGAATCACAGGTTCCTACATGTGTTTCTTTGGGTTTTGAAATTCGAATGTTGCCATGCCATGTCATGCGTTTTCCACTGGAGCAATGACTTCATAGGGCAGCACCATATTCCCAACCATTAAGTCGTGATTCACCTATGTCGGTCTAAACAATCGAATAGTATCTCCAGTCATTGTAAAAATTATGACTGAATTTCAACTTGTAAACATTTAAATATGGATAACAATAAAACTAATCTGTTTCATCTTCATTGACACATACTAGTATGTAGTATCTGAAAATAGTAGCATTACCCACCGTTTGAATTGAGTGATACCCTTGTAGAGAAGAATAAAATTGTATTAAACTCTTTCATTATAAATTCGATCCATCATTTTGTTTTTGGTGACTATATTTTTGCTTATGAATAGTTTGTTCTAAAACTATATTTATTCTCATTCTTTTGATATGATTCTGTATAATGTGCTTAGGTTGATACGGTAATACCACGCATAGAAGTAGTTGATATGCAAATAGACATTCCAGTTTCTGAACATCTAAACAACTAATTATATTTTGATGATTGTATCACTTTGAGGATCGATAAATAACATCAATTTTGTATCATAGATATAAAAGATCCATATATGTAAGGAAATCTCATTCATATGGAAACCTAATTTATATTCCTTATCACTTAAAACTTGCTTTTCCAAATTAAACACAGTTCTTCTGTAGAGAATCTGTTCTGAAATATACTTCTTATTGTATATATACATACATTTCAGGTTTACGTCGTTTTCAGTGTAACTTTTGCGGCAAAACTTATGCTAAAGGTTTCCTTCTAAAAGCTCATGTGAAAAGTGTTCATGAAAGTGAGTTGATAATTTTCTTACATTTAGGTAATTTCTGTCTTTTTCCAATATATAACATTACCTTTCAAAAGTTTTCTTAGCCTTTTTTTGATAAATTTCTTAATCTTGTCTCTGTAAGGAATGAATTAATTTCTCTAAACAAACATGAAAAAAACTCTGTTGTACAAGAGTAATCTTTTGTTCACTATATGCCTATATCTTGTATTTATTGTAATTTATCAGGATATGGACTTCAGTGATTTGTAATCCTGTCCCTTTAACAGAATTTCATTTCCTGTACATTAAACACAACTTGAACATTTAATAGATATACCCATGTTCTCAAACAGTGGGTCAAAATGTTTCTTAATTTTGTGACTGACTGTAAGTAAGCTTAACAAACTGATTGTTACTACAATTTTTTTATCGATAGTTTCCAGTCTCTTACTAATCGCTTGTCCACCGGTTAATTCTTGTTAACTGTTTTTATCACGATCCTATAAAACTATTCTTGTCGTGTCTACTGTGAAATATTAGTTTGGTCTGTTAAATAAATTTAGTCGTTTCACCGATTCTAAAGTTATAAACTTAATTAATTCGGACATAATACTCAGTCTCTTTTGCAAGCTGAATGATAGAAAATTAGTAGATTTCATAGAACCATTTACTTAAAGGAGTAAAAATGTTTATTGTGATTGACATTATTTTATCGACAGACATATTTAATAAATGAATTTATTCATAAAATAAGTTGTAATTGTCTATTGAAAAAAATCAACTGATAAAGTCCCGGTTTTTCAACAATATTAAATACTGATTTGAAAAATCATAACAAAATACGTCTTTACCACGTTTGCGAAATGAACTTCATATTTACGGGTTAGAAATGTCATTACAAACCTGCTAGCTTCTTTCTATCCGCATACACAAGGTGTTTTCAAATATTATCGGTTGACTTTCGAAGTTAGAGTGATTCTAGCTATCCTCTAGAAGCTTATGAAGTCTATGGTATCAGACATTAGCATACATAAAGCACATCGCTATGGAAAGGTCGAAAAGTAAATAGATCAATAATTTCATGGGTGCTTGGGCGTATTGAAGAGACTGGGTTCTGACTATGCCCTGCGAAATGCAAATTTTTACTGCGGTTGATCAAACATCTTGGTTTTATTTTTGACAAACAGGGGCACTCAGAGATATATCATCATTACGAAAATTCTTTAGAATATTAGGTCAACGTTGAACTTTTCTTGGTGTTTTTGATGAGCTTACTCTGTTAAATCAACCATTAGACAGGAATGTCACTGGTCACTAAATTGAAAAGACCTTGGCCAATTCAAACCATGGAATAACATCAGGTTCAGATGAATTAACCCTGGAATTTTTTAAGGATAGTTTTCCAGTTATAGTAGTCTAATTCACTGGGATTTAAATTGTTAGGAGTTGAATGTAATCCCATATGATTGATCTAGATCACTGAGAAAAATACTTTTGTGATTACTACGAAAGAGTCAGCATCTGAAATGTTAGCTCCCTTAGTATTCCAGAGTTTCCGTGGCAATGTCTTTCACTGAAAGGTTTACCAAAGAAGTGCATCAAACTTATACCAGCTTTAATCGAACAATATTAGTCGAGTCAGATTTTATGGCAAACTGTTATAAAGATTGTCAACCTCAGTAGGTATCCATCAGGGTTCTCCACTTTCTTTTTTAATTAAATTTGCCACAGGCATTGTATTAGGTATAGTTATCTCGTCCTGTAACTTAACATAAGTCGGGGATTACTTATTGATTAAAATACTCAACTAGCACCAACCATAAAAGCATTTTTCGATAACAAATGCACACGCGCTCTAAAATCCAGCTACCTTCACGTACGACCTGAATGACAATTCCCGATAAAACTTTAAAAAAGAATTAAATACTTATGCCTTTCCCAATTTATTATCGTACGTTTGAGCAGGGGTTAAACCTTTATCATTTAAATAGGTGTTGGCTCACGAGGTTTTAGGAAGAGGGGTAATGCTAAATGTTCAGTTGATAGGTTGTGTTACAGTTTTTCCTATTTATTGATATATTTACGGCAGCCGTTTTCAATGTTTCGTTTGTGTCAACTAGTCGGAACGAATTCTACACAATTCGACATATACTTTTGTTTTTCTGTATTTCTGTGTGCTCCAGTTCTTATCATATTTTACACTCAGTAGATTTCTCTGAAAAACCTTTAAAACAAAGTTTGTAAGTCAGGTATTTTCTATTTCTCTGTTCTTTATCTTTAGTACACCTTAAAAATAATTTCACAAATAAAGTAAATAAAGTAATTGCTCACTTTTTTTCTGTTTTTTCAAAACTATCATCTTCTGATAAGTAAATGTTTTTGGACACTTTTTCTTCTTAAAATTGTTGTAACAAT